TGGGGAATAGTGCTAACGGCCGAAACTACACCCTTGACAGCCAAACGCTATATCCCACAACCGCCGTGAAGGACCTAGGTGTACTCTCACGCTACGATTTGAAGTCCGTGGACAACACGAACAGGCTATATCGTAACGGACTGCGCATGCTTTGGGCGCTCAAACGTTGCTTCGGCACATGGTCTGAAGAGGTTGCCACTCGCCTGTTCTCTTCTATCATTAGACCAATGCTAGAGTACGGTTCGCCCGCCTACTTTCCGATTATCCGAGAGGAGGCACAAAAGATCGAACGGGTCCAACACGTTGATACCAGGCTTATCCCGAGTTTACGTTGCATTGGGTATGAAGACCGGTGCGAGAAACTAGGACTCTACACCTTGTCCTACCGTCGGTTGCGAGTCGACCTCATTATGACCTACCGTATTCTACATCTCGGTGACTTCCCCATGTTAAGGCCAATGCTGCACTTACGATGGCCATGCAGCACACGCGGACACAGATACAAACTTGTCGTGCCAGATGTGAAATGTGTTCCCCACCCACTGTGCTTCGAACGGAGAGTGGTAAACATTTGGAACAATTTGCTTGAACATGTGATTGAGGCATCATCTGTGCAACAGTTCAAAACGTTGTTAGATTTATATTTTGCCACTATTCGATTCAGAGAACGACTGCACACTTACGATGACATATCACATTTGTGAATCCTGAAATATCGTAAGTCGAATATTTTAAATATTACATGAGAACGACAATGATATTCACGGTTGACAACTTTTATAATGTTTTTCACAATATTTCGAAAGAGTTGTACAGAATCCATTTCTACTTGCTCTATAATACAGTACTCAGTATATATATATATATGTATAGAGAGAGAGAAAGTGAGAGAACAGACAGCACCATGGACTTATACACCATCAGCTTCGTGCCAATGGTAAGCTGATGGTTGTTCCACACTCGGTACTCAAGCTTCCCGAATGCCGCCGCTGCCTTCGACACGCGAATAGTCAGCTCACTGTGTATCCGCTGATCAGTCGACATCACACTCCCAAGGTAGCAGAAGCGGAGGGTGGCTTCCAATACCTCAGCACCAATGCTGATTCGCGGCAATATTGAAGATTGCACCTCCGATGAAGGCTGAAAGAAACAGACAGTTTTGCTTATGTTGATGGTGAGCCCGAATTTGGCCGCTGTCGAAGCCAGAGCACTAGTCATGTGCTGCAACTCATCCGCGCTGTGTGCAAACAACGCACAGTCGTCAGCAAACAGCAACATACGGATAGTTGTCTCACAGACTAGAGTTCTCGCACCGAAACGACGGATGTTCAGCAACCCACCACCAATACGGTGCTCCACACGAACACCGTAAGCAAAAGCCGCATAAAAAGCACAATACATCATTGCATTAAGATATATAATAAACAGGGCAGGAGCTAAGACACAGCCTTGCTTCACACCAGAGACAACTGCAAAGTCATCCGAGGTCTCTCCTCTAAGCTGCACCCTAGACGGCATACCACCGTGCAGACATTCAACTAAACGTACAAACTTACCCAACACCAGCCACAATGCATCGCTGTTCACCATATCAAATGCCTTGGTGAAATCAACAAAAAGCGAGTACAATGACTGGTGTCGTTCTCTACAACTGACGAGCCGCAAACACCATATTTATAGTGCTGCGTCCCGAACCGGTAACCACCCCCCCCCCCCCCCCCCCCCCCCCCCCCCCCCCCCCCCCCCCCCCCCCCCCCCCCCCCCCCCCCCCCCCCCCCCCCCCCCCCCCCCCCCCCCCCCCCCCCCCCCCCCCCCCCCCCCCCCCCCCCCCCCCCCCCCCCCCCCCCCCCACCCCCCCCCCCCCCCCCCCCCCCCCCCCCCCCCCCCCCCCCCCCCCCCCCCCCCCCCCCCCCCCCCCCCCCCCCCCCCCCCCCCCCCCCCCCCCCCCCCCCCCCCCCCCCCCCCCCCCCCCCCCCCCCCCCCCCCCCCCCCCCCCCCCCCCCCCCCCCCCCCCCCCCCCCCCCCCCCCCCCCCCCCCCCCCCCCCCCCCCCCCCCCCCCCCCCCCCCCCCCCCCCCCCCCCCCCCCCCCCCCCCCCCCCCCCCCCCCCCCCCCCCCCCCCCCCCCCCCCCCCCCCCCCCCCCCCCCCCCCCCCCCCCCCCCCCCCCCCCCCCCCTCCCCCCCCCCGCCCCCCCCCCCCCCCCCCCCCCCCACCCCCCCCCCCCCCCCCCCCCCCCCCCCCCCCCCCCCCCCCCCCCCCCCCCCCCCCCCCCCCCCCCCCCCCCCCCCCCCCCCCCCCCCCCCCCCCCCCCCCCCCCCCCCCCCCACCCCCCCCCCCACCCCCCCCCCCCCCCCCCCCCCCCCCCCCCCCCCCCCCCCCCCCCCCCCCACCCCCCCCCCCCCCCCCCCCCCCCCCACCCCCCCCCCCCCCCCCACCCCCCCCCCCCCCCCCCCCCCCCCCCCCCCCCCCCCCCCCCCCCCCCCCCCCCCCCCCCCCCCCCCCCCCCCCCCCCCCCCCCCCACCCCCCCGCCCTCCCCCTCCCCCACCCCCCCCCCACACATCCCCCCCCCCCCACCCCTTATACAGGTAGTCGAGGAAATCCAACTCCACGATAGGGGTTTAGGGTCAATGTTGACGATGGTGCCATCTCGAGCTTAGGACTCACCGCATATTCAGGATGGGTGGTGGCCGTACCGCCCCCACCCACCCCACCTACCCACACCCGAGCCTCCGCTCCACACCTCCCACCCCCCAAGGCACTGCTTTTGCCGCTACGTTAGGTTCCACAACCTGACTGACGAGGCGGTTGAGCATGGATTTCGGGGGCAATCACCTTGCCCACAACAACTCCAGGCAACTTGATGCCACGCTAATTCGTAAGCCAAACATTGCTTGCTCGCCTGGCCCTTGTACAGTGGGTAGCACACATGGCTATCCTTCAAAACAGCTCAGGGAGGCACCTCCTACCTCAATCCCATACGCGGTGCACCAAGTGGTGCATCGCAGTCAACTACGCGGGTCCGCCGTGTTTCAATACTTCAGGCGGGATCCCGTCGGCCTCCGGCACACTTGCCGTTTCGCAGCTGAGCAAGTGCTCTCTGCGTCTCATCCATGCCGCGTCCGCAAGACTAGCCTTCACATCGAGGGCTGCTTAGGCCGTCTCAATGTAGACCCACAGTATCTCAGACGGTTTTGTTCAAGAGACAACGAAGTGTTTCCGCCAGATCTGCATTAGGTCATGCAGTCTGTGTGCCAGGTAGCGCCTGTACTACCATTGATCAGTGTTCGCTCAGCGGCTCGCAATCTCGGTCCATACACCGACCTCAAGGCGTCACAAGAATACTTTAGGGTGGCGGCGGTCGCGCATAATTCCATCGTTGCAGTGCGAGCCTTCTCGCGACCACCATACAGTGGAGCGCGGAGGGGCGAACGTATCACTCGGTCAATCACCTGTACAAAGTTGTAAAACTTGACAACCCTAACCCCAGGTCTCTGGGGGGAGCTGCCAGCATTGGTAGCAAATGCGCATTCTTCTCCCGACACCAATGCGCCAAACGCACATTGTTCGCATCAAACCAATCCGGCGGGGGGGGGGGGGGGGGGGGGGGGGGGGGGGGGGGGGGACTAGCTTACCAGTTTGTGCGCCCTAAGGTCTCCTCAACAGCAGCTGTCACTTGGTCCAGAATTTGGTGCCACAGGTCGCCCACTGTGGCTATGCAGTCCACATTACACAGGCGTGCAGCCATCGCCTTCTCTAGCTCAATATGTTTCGCCACAGTAATCGAGGGAGAGAATGTTATATTCTACCGATTCACTGCCTGAGGAGTGCAATACATAGATTTTATACCGAAAATATATGTACAGTTTGGTCCGCACCCATTTCTGATCAGTGCCACACTCAGCTCCACGCAGTACACGTGTCATGCGCACTTCACGCAAATTACGCTGACGTAACGATGACATAGTCGAGCAGTGAGCATGACCAACTCGGGTGCGTCCAAGTTGCTATGATCACTCGCAACTCAGTGCAAACCGAGTGATCGTGATCGTCAGGTCGGAGTGCACAAAGTGAGAGCAGCCTGTCACCGATTCGCATTCGCTGGACCAATGCCATGTGGCCCGAATAACACTGTCCACGCTGTCATCACGGGTCACTGCGGGGGGGGGGGGGGGGGGGGGGGGGTGGTTGTGGGGGTGGGGGTGGGGGGGGGGGAGGGGGTGGGGTGGGGTGGGGGGGAGGGGGCGGGTTTGGGGGCGGGGGTGGGGGAGGGGTTGGGGGGGGGGTTGGGGGTGGGGGGGGGTGGGGGGGGGGCCCACGCCTACGCACGCTCAGTCACGACCTCATGCACGCTAAATATCACGTCGCAGAGGGGAACACTCACGCACAGCCCGACACACGTCACACGCGCTACGAGCACCGTTGCGCATCACGGACACGCCCCGTCGACACGCACGGGGGTACGGCTACGCACGGACTCTCGGAACGAGGACGTCACGGAGCAGACCACGGGGGCGCACGTTGTCGTACCGGTGCCACTCACGAGACCGCCCATTCCCCGTTTCCGCCGGGGCCGGACCGTCACGGGCCCGCAGCGCCATCACGGAATCACACGCACGGCCAGTCCCGCGGGTCTCGCAGACTCGAAGACCATCACGCAACGGACCGGGCGACCAGGCCGGAAACCTACCATACACGAAGCACTCCACGACACGGACGCGGGCGGCCGCACGCCGGACGCATCCCTCCATCACCCCCCCAAGACGCCCAACGCGCGCGTTGAAACCACTCTAGCAGAAGTATTTCCGGTCGCTTCTCGGCACAGACCGTATCACGGAGGAAAGCTGAGTGTAGAATTGACCACCGCGTGTCATCATGATAACATATATTCTGACGTTACTTGCGTATAAAAGTAGCAAACTTACCTCTTCCGAGTCGTAGGCGAACAGTCATCAGTCGCGCGCTGATGCCCGTGGTTCACCCACCAAATTGCCATGGAGGTGGATCAGATATTGCCAAACCGACCCCATGATAACGTGGTGCTGATGCGGGGTTGCCCACCAAAGAGAATGTGTAGTCAGCACCTGCTTCATGCAACTTACCTTGCTCGGCGAGCCGAGTTTCACTGAGCGCCGCAATATCGATGTGATAGCGCGCCAGTTCCATCGCGACCAGTGCAGTGCGTCGCTCCGGGCGCTCGCTGGAGTTCCGGTCCAGTAGTGTGCGCAAGTCCCACCACCCGATGCTGAGTGCGTTGCGCACAGGCATACGATTGCATTGGTGGGCAATCGCACGCGAGGTGGTCGTTGTGCTTCGGAGGTTTGCTTGATGGACTCCACCCGGAGCCTTTGGCTCAATAGCCTGACCCACAAGGCAGTGGGTGATTTGAAGGTTTGCTTGAGGGACTCCACCCGGAGCCTTTGGCTCAATTGCCTGACTCACAAGGCAGTGGGAAGCAGATCCAGATCGGGAATGTGATTGCAGAGACAGATTGGGATCTGCTTGACGGCCGTCACACGCAACCTTGGAGGTACTGGAACGATTCATATATGTTTTACGACCGTATGAGGATACACCTGCGATCATGGCCAGACGCAGGTGGGTTTTGGCGGGTTTGCACCAATTTGACCAGGGGCTGCCTGGCTTGAGGTGGGCAGTAGGAAACCATTGAACACCCGGAGATGTCCTCCCACCGTCAGAGACAATGCTTGGCACCCGTGCTCTACGCCAATCGAGCTGTGAGCTTATAACCCGTGGACCTGTTGTCTCCCATTGCTAGGTTTTACGACAAGTGGGCCATCAACCACTTCATAACCTCCGAAGAGGATGGACAAGGATACCGGCAGGGCGCACACACTTGACAGGAGAACGACTCGGGTCCATAGCCAAAGCCCTCGATTATATGAACCCACCAAGGAAGCGGGACTAGCACATTGTCAGTTCACTGACACATGTGGATTGGTGTCTTGGAACTTAGCAGGGAGAAGGGCGAAACGCAACTCCCACCCAGCGGTCGCCACGAGGAGGCGACTAGGACATCATCATTACACGTTAGCTGGAGGTGGAAAACACCTCAGCTATTGTGCCGCAATACAAAAGGCAAGAAAAGAAAAAACAAACGAACAGTGACACGCCCCCTGAGTCCCCAGTAACGGATGGACATCGTTCCGGAGAGCTAACAGCTGGCTGCCGCAAAAGAAAGTCATATTATGCCTAACGATTGAGATCGTGATTGGAGGGGGATGCTAAACAGGAGGGGGATGGACAAAGGAACTCACAACACAAACGCCATTGGGGCCGGCTCCTAGCCATATCAGCAAGTGTGTCCAGCCAAACGTGTTCACCGTCCTTAGGACCCCAGCCAGGCAGTCGCGATGCACCAACCGACGCCAACTTTGAAGTGAGGGTTTTCATTTCTCTCGACCAAGTCATCACTTGGCCTCCCCTCCTCCTCTTCCAACCGCACCCACAACGCGCAAAACAATGCACGTCGTGGGAGTCGGTGTGCTGGCATGCGCAACACGTGGCCCAGCCATCGGAGCCTGGTGCGTGATATAATCGTGCTGAGCGGTTCACTCGCTCTTCCTGCACCAAATACGCGACGCCGAACACGTTCATTGCTCACGCGGTGTTCCCACCAAACATGAGCTAAGCTGCGAAGGCAGCGATGATCGAACGTGACGAGTCTATTCATGTCTGTCGACCTGATGGGCCAGGTTTCACAGCCATATAGGAGAGTTGAACGGACGGCTGCGTTGTAAACTCTGCCCTTGAGGGCGAGAGTAATGTCGCGTCTGCGCCACAGGTGGCGGAGATTGGCAAAAGCACCTCGAGCTTTTGCTATACGGTTCGTAACCTCATCTTCAATCCCACGGGTGCTAATATAGCTGCCCAGGTACTTGAATTCCTGAACGACTTCTAGCAGATCACCAGCAAGCGTTAGCGCAGGGTTAGGACATGAGGAAATGGCAGAACAATAGCAGCAGTGGGTAGATCATCTGTCAGGTTCTAGCCACCACCAGCCTCAGCGAACCATAGGCTCTCCCGCCATATATATATGGTTGGCGGCATCCGGTTTCGGATTTGCCTGTCACTGTGGCGAGCCACAGGACGCCTGCGCCTACAGAGGGACGATGGGTGCCTTGCACTGCACCATCCACAGCTCCAACCACACACCCCATATGCAGTGTAAACCCGAAGGAATAAGACCGGGAGGCATGTGGATGGGAGCCACGTTTCATCAATGGAGCCGTCCCACACTCCTTCACAGGCAAACACAAGCACGATGTATTTGGGGAATCAAGCGCACACAAGGCGGTGGTTGGACTGTAGTCCGCCCCACACTGAGTGCATGGAACCACTCTTTGAGCCTTGGACGACCACGAAGACCGTGCACCCCGTCCCCTCCAGCAACGACCAACTGCCTCCTAGAGCCAGTATGGACGAGGTTGTGGGTAATAGACAGGTAGGCACCTTATCAACATGCACATCAAGCGCAGCCACACCGGGGATATCAAACAACAGCCATTCACCTTAGACGACAAGCTGAAATAAAATAAATCCAATAATGCATACAGATACGGTGGCATAACTCTTACCCAAATTACCATGTGAAATAAGTTGGTTAACAACGAAACCGCGATAAATAAGAAATGTCCATAAATTACTTAAAAATGCTACAAACGCAACAAAATTACCGAAGATAAGCGCAATTAGCGTAAGCAACGTGGCTAGCTAATAGAACATTATCCAGGTAGGCAGAACAAACCAAATAAAGTGGAATGAGATGAATCTAGCATAAAAAGGCCTAGTTTAAGTGTAAGTTGGTTTAGCCCAACTGCGGTGAAGAAGCATCAAGAATGCGACATCAGCCACAGCATGGGGCATGCCATATATATATATATATATATATATATATATATATATATATATATGTCTGCAGAAGTATGATCCAGGTTGTCTACCGGCCAGGATCCCAGATACACATTGCGGGCACGCTGCCAAGAGCCCACCTGTCAGACCCGCAAGGAAAGGAAGAAGACCCAGCTTTTGTCCATGCAATACAGCTGATCGTCGTCACTGAGGAACGCTTGCACCATCTGCAAGGATACACTGAGGAGGACTAAATGTGTAGGCTACTGAATCACACGATTATGAACGGATGGCCTGAAAACAAGAAAAAGTTACCAAAGGAGCTGACTCCATTCTTCCATTTTCATGACGAACTCATTACTCAGGTTGGATTAATACTCAAAGGCAAGAGGCTAATGGTTCCAAATGCACGGCAGCGTTCTATGCTGGAGCTGATACATTGTGCACATTTAGGAACCAACAACTGCGTGGCAAGAGCTACAGAGCTATCGTTCTGGCCCGCAATGACCAGCCAAATACGTGACTACGTGACTACGCAGACCACACGCCGTGCGCCAGCCAACATAATCGATGATGCTACGTGACGTTCCTGACAGACCCTGGCAGATGGGTGCACTAGACATTTTTTCTTACGATGGAAAGAACTATTTGATTGTGGTAGGTTATTTTAGTGACTACTTCGAGATCGGTGCGCTTACGACGACTAGTACGCAGTACGTGGTGAACAAGTTGCGGTGCCAATTCGCTCGGCATGGAATACCCGAGGTGGTGATTTCGGACAATGGGCCGCAATTTAATAGTGCAGAGTTTCTTGCATTCAGCAAGAAGTGAGATTTTCGTCACCGGCTAACTAGCCCATACCACAGCCGATCAAACGGTAAGGCTGAGTACGCAGTGAATTAGGCGAAGAAAGTGCTTACAAAAGCCAAGAAGACCCAGCAAGATCGGTACATAATGCTACTGGATCTACTGATATCGGAGAGTCCTGCACAGCGTCTATTCAGTCGCCGAACACGAACGCTAATACCGACCGCTACAACTCTACTGTAGCCCGAGATAGCGCCGTCCGATGTTCTACACGACCGACTACGGAAAAGAATGCTAACGCGAAAAAGTACTATGATCGCGGATCGGAAAGCCTTCCACCACTAGGTACAGGAGAAGAAGTATGGGTGGATGCTGTCGGAAAGGAATGATCGAAGACCGGAAAAGAGAGAGGAGCTATGAAGTCAAGGTTGGGGGCAATCTCGTTCGACGGAATCGGGTGCAACTGAGAACAGTGCGTCAGAAGTGGACACTGCAGAAAGAGGGTCATCAATCACAACCGGAGAGGAATACTGCTACCCAAGCCCAGGACATTAAACGCACACGAAGTGGTAGGCACTACGAAACATATTGTAACGCCATACTAAAAAACGGAAAAGGAAAGGATGTGGTGGGGGCTGGAAATGCTGGTGACTGGAAACGGTGTAATGCCGATCGAACGTCACAGGCCAGACCGATAGGGAGTGAGCATGTTGCCGGAAGTAGATTGGTAGCCAATCAGGAAATAGTTGGTCCGGGATCGCGTCCAGCCTACAACCATTCGCTGAATGTGCAAGTGACCAATCAGGCGCCAGCAAGCGAAGGAGCGCATACTCGTGCACCCTTGAGCCCAGGCTTGTGGCACTGAACCGAGGGAAGAAGCGCGCGGACCCAGTCCCGCCAATCGTACATCCACTAAGAAAGCCGGGTTGATTTTAGACAGAGTGAACGTGGCGCGCAAGCATAAACCAATAGAAGAGGAACCAGCGGCACAATGCAAAGAACAGGGATGAGCCATTGCAACGGACTGTTGTAAATAGTCTATATACTCTATAAATATTCGAGCGTAATCTTA